GATGAAGCCAGTAGAACATCCCAATCAACACTCCACCTCAGTCTGTTGGCGTTTAGGTAGCTGAGCAGCTGAGAGGCTTGACCTGGAACTCAAATACACTCTTGGTATCACAGGCATATCATTTGCTTGGGGGATATTTTCACCAGAGCGCCAGATGGGGGCAATCCTTCTGTCTTATCTGAGAACCCGTTCTGGTTCTGGCGTTATTTTAGTTTTAAACTTCTGGAAAATTTTATCTTCCCTGGATGTACGTTTTGCCGTGGAACCCAATTCTTCCTCAGGTGCTTCACTCATGCTCCCTATAATCTCTAATTCACCTTTCCCCCCTGAAATTTCAGGTGTAATCTCATCTTCTGTTTCTGTTCCGATTTCAAATTCTGAAAGAAGGGATTCGTGGTCTGGAACTGCATTGTCCAAGTTACCTGTCTACAAGCCTGCTTCTGTACCGATCTCCAGTCCAGAGTCTGGTGCGCCTTTCTGCAGGGATGCGCCTGACGACACTCAGCACGTCTTGGGACCTAAACAGCCGCAAACCCTGCAGAGCTGAATGCACACGGATTCTTCCGTTTCTAGGGGAGGACACTCATGTGAGTAAGTCATCTCCTCGATAGCTGATGTCTTAAAACGCTCAGGCCCGCGCAGCAGTAAGCAAACGGCAGAAGTGGAACAGGTTGTGATGGAAGGGGACGGCTCCACCGGGCAGGAGCGCCCACAGCTGCAGCACCTACGCCTGCAGCGGCAGCACAGTGGTCGAGCCAGCCCAGCGTGGGCGGGCGGACGCCCACCTGGCGGGGTAACTACGCGCTGCTCCGCCCCACGCTGATGCTGCCTCCTTGAAGACCAGCTCAGCGCCCCCAAACCCCTGGGGGTGGGGGGCCGGGTTGTCCTTAGCACTGGGAGCGCCGCTGGAAGGCTGTGCAGCCTAGTTTGTGTATACCGATCTTATATCCTGCAACCTTGCTGAACTTGCCGGTTAATTCTAGAAGTTGGCGCGCGGGGGGGCATTCTATATACAAGATCATGTCATCTGCAGATAGAAATACTTTTACTTCTCCAATCTGGATGTGTTTTGTTTCATTGTTGTGGTTAGAACTTCCATATAATGTTGAACAGAAGGGAGGACAGCAAATTTTTTTTAACTGTATTTTTTTCATGACCATTTATTCCCCTTATACCTTCCCCCCAATCACTAGGCTGTTGTCCACATTCATCAGTCCTTTTTCTTTTTGCTCATCCCTCCATCCTCTAACCTCCTCTTCACCCTTAGCTGTCATCCTGCTCTCTCTGACTGCCTTTGTTTTGCTTGTTAGTTCAGTTCATTAGATTCCGCATATGGGTGAAATCATATATTTGTCTTTCTCTGACTGGCTTATTTCACTTACCATAATGCTCTCCAAATCCATCCATACTGTTGCAAAGGGTAAAATTTTGTTCTTTTTTTTTCTTTTACGGCTGAGTAGTATTCCATTGTGTAAATGCCCCATAGTTCTTTTATCCACTCATCTACTGCTGGACACTTGGGCTGCTTCCATGTCTTAGTGATTGTAAATAACACTGCAATGAACATAGGGGTGCCTATGTTCTTTTGAATTAATGTTTTGGGTTCATTCGGATATACTCCCTGAGGTGGGATCACTGGATCAAAAGGCAGATCCATTTTTAATTTTTAAGTAATTAATTAATTCTTAATCTTTACTGTATTTATTTTCCATTACCATTTAGTCTCCTTATACACGCCACCCCCCAGCAATCACCACACTGTTGTCCATGTCCATGAGTCCTTTTTTCTTTCTGCTCAGTTCCTACAACCCCTAACATCTCTGCCCCCATTTTTAATATTTTTATGTACCTCCATACTGTTTTCCAGAATGGCTGCACAAATCTGCATTCGCACCAAGAGTGCAAAAGTGTTCCCCTTTTTCCACATCCTCACCAGCACTTGTTTGTGAACAGACTTCTTTTTCTTGTTCCTGGTCTTAGGGGAAAAACACCCAGTCTTTCACCATTAAGTGTGTAGTTAGTTGCTGATTTTTCATAGATGCTCTTCATAAAGTTGAGGAATCCATTTCTGTTCTTAGTTTGTTGAGTGTTTTTTATCATTAAAGGGTGCTAAATTTTGTCAGGTACTTTTTCTGTGTCTAGTGTAATGATCGTGTACATTTTATTTTTTTATTCCATTGACATGATGTATAACATTAATTGATATTCAGATGTTAAACCAATCTTGCTCTCCAGAGATAAATCTCACTTGGTCATGATGTATAATTATTTTTATATATTGCTGAATTTAGCTTACTAGTATTTTATTGAGAACCTTTGCAACCACATGCATGAGATAATTGGTCTGTAGTTTTCTTTGCCTGTGATGCCTTTCTCTGGTTTTTCTCATAAGCTGAGTTGGGAAGTGTTCCCTTCTTGTTCTGGGCTGAGTTTTGCACCCCCATCCCCACCACATTTATATGTTGAAGCCCTAACCCCCAGTACCTCAGAACGTTACTGTATTCAGAGATGAGGTTTAAAGAGATGATGAAGTGAAAATGAGCTTCCTAGGATGGCCCCAATCCAATCTGACTTGGCATATTTAAAAGAAGAGAACATCTGGACCCTCTGAAAGACACTAAGGATGTGTTTATAGAGAGGAAAGACCATTCGAAGACACAGAAAAAAGGTTGCCATTGGCAATCCAAGGAGAGAGACCTATGAAGAAAAGACCAAACTGGTTGATAACTTGATTTTGAACATCTAACATTCATAACTGTGAGAAATAAATTTGTTGTTTAAGCCACCTAGTTTATGGTATTTTTTTATGGCAACCCTAATACACTCCTCTTTTGTTTTTTGGAAGACTATTTAAAGAATTAGATTTAATTTTTTCCTAAATTTTTAAAAATAGAATTCACGAGTGAATTTATCTGGGTAGGCTTTTCATTGTGGGTAGATTTTTGATTGCTAATTCAATTTCTTCACTTTTTTATAGGTGTACTCACGTTGTCCATTTCTTTTTGAGTCAGTTTTGGTAGTTGGTGTCCATTTCATTTAGGTTATTTAATTTGTTAGTATACAATTATTCAGTGTTCCTTTGTAATTCTTTCTATTTCTGTGGCATTAGTAGTAATGTCCCATCTTTCATTTCTGATTCTAGTAATTTGAGTCTATACACACACACACACACACACACACACACACACACACACACCCCACCCCCCCCCCCTTGGTCAATCTAGTTAAACTTTGTCAATTTTGTTCACCTTTTGAAAACGTCATCTTTGAGCTTAATTAATTTTCTCTATTGCTTTTCTCTTCTATATTTCATTAATTTCCACTTTAATCTTTATTATTTACTTTCTTCTGCCTGTTTTAGGTTTAGTTTGCTTTCCCTTTTTCAGTATCTTAACGTGGAAGAAACAGGAATATTGAAGGCTAAACCAAAGCATTTAACGCCACGCCGGCGTGGACCTTGTGTACCACGTCAGCTTCTAGGCTTTCGCTTTCTTTTTTCTCTTTTGTTCCTGTGCCTCTCAAGCTTCCGGGGTAGGGAATCCTGAGAGCTCACGGCCCGGTAGGATAGACCCCTGCGGACAGGACGGTAGGTGGCACCTCTCAACCCGCAGCTCCAACCCTCCTCAGACTCCCAGATCTTATTTTAGGTTTTAGCGTCACTATCGCTCACCCTGGGCCCCACTAGCCACCTCTCGCGCCCCTTGCCGAGCTCTCCAAACTTCTGCTTTCCGAACTGGCCCTGGGCGGAGGTGAAGTGGGGTGGGGTGCCGGGCAAGGGTCCGGGGAGGGGTGGCCCTTCTGGCAAGTGACTCAGTCCTGCAGATTCCTCATCTCTGGTTTGCCCAGGGGCACTGGTGGGGGCGGAGTCCCCCCTCCGCCCCCGCCCATTCCTGCCCAGGCTCCCACCACCTCACCTTGCTCTCCTGGCACCCCAGATTCTCAGGAGAGCTGCTAAAGGCTGCCGGGATCCCTGGTGAGGTCCGATTCACCAGATCCCCGGGGCGAAATAATCCTTGGCCCACACAGGCGGAAACAGGCCGCAAGCTCTGGTGCAGGTTGCCAGTGTCCTGTAATCTTTTGTTTATGATCCTTTTGAGAGTTGCCCAATACCTGGCGGAACTGTTCAAAAGATGTGGCCATTTTCCTTTCAAAAAATTGTTGAGAAAAGACGTTTTTTCCTGCAATAATATGTTCGCGCTTCCGTTTACTTGTCAGGAATTTTTACTTTCTCGAAATAGCCTAAAGTATCTCAAAGCAGTGTAATAATAGTATTTTGGCAAATTGCAAGAAAATGTTGCCCTGGGAAAGTTCAGCATAATAAAATTTATGTAAAGCCTTAGAAAAAACTTGATTTCAAGGTGTTCTTGCTGGATGGTGTCCGGGTTTGGACAAATGGCATGTTCTTTCAAATATTAACAGTGGATTGCAGTAGAACAAAGGTCACTGTAATCAGAATAAGTTTTTGGTTCAAGGAACAGAAAGTTCAAGGGACAGACAGAAGGTAAGTTCAAGGACGTTGAAACTCTCGCCAATATTTTCATTTGCTGACTTTGAAATTTGTTTACCCAACGAGAGGTAGTGCTAATAGGGTGATAGCATACGTCAAGCATTTTGGACTCCCGCAAATCCAGATAGTCTAAAAGTCACAACAGGCTCTGACTGGCCCTATCTGCCTTATTTGAAAGAGATTTCAAATAAGAACAGACTTTTGGGTATTTTCCCTCTGGCGGTTCCCTTACCTAATCTTATAAAAAGTTGCACTGGGAGGAGGAGCAAATCAACTTGGCCCAACTCCAAAACAAACAAAAAACCCGAAAACTTCTGTTTGCCATACTTAACTTTTCAGTTTTTATGCTAACACTTGTTTTGTTTACAGCTTCTAGGTTTGATGCTCTGATTAAAATGGCGTCTCAGAGACTTCGTGTTTCGTATTGTTTGTAACTGACATTCGCACTTCCTTTATTTTTTTACACGCAGCCTTACACCTGCTTTCTTAGGCGAATCCACCCGCAGGTCCGCAGAAACTGGGTGCCACTTGCGCCCTGGGGAGTCTTGCGCAGGGGCGTTAGGAGCGTAGTCGCGAGCAGATTTTTAATTTAGTTTAGTTTTTTCAGCAGTGGCAGAGTGAAACTAAAACTGAAAACTGAAGTATGTTTTCGTTACTGGGACGCCCTTGGCTCCCACCGCGGCCCTCGGGCTCAGTGGGGCGCAGCGTCAAGTGCTCACTCGTAACCATCTGCTGCAGGTTAACTTTCCCAGGCACCAGGGAGAGTGTACTATCCAAAGAGACATATCTGCCCCCTTTTAGGGTTTTAGGAAAGGGTCATAAAATTTTTGACTGGGCGGAGCTTTCCTAGAGGGCGGACTGTGGAGGAGGCGCACAGGGGCTCAGCAAAAACAAGTTTCAGGTCGCCAACAACCTGGTAGGCCACCTCCGACGCTCTGTCCCAGTTCGTCATCCCGTCCGGACAATTTTCAACTTCGATTTTTCGGAGAGTCAGATCCTAGGGCGCCTTTCCCGGCGGAGATCCAGCTGGAAGAGCCGGCGGCTGCCCCGGCGTGAGTAGACCGAGAACCCTCTCCACCCCTCTTCTTCCGACCTACGCCCCTGTGCTGGTATCGTCCTGGACTCTGGGGTTTCAGGGCACTGTCCCCCGCCCCACCCCGATCACGCAGAAACAGTACTCCTAGTCACCTGGTGTGTCGCTTTTTTAAATCTCCGGAATGGACACAGTTTGGCTATTTCTTCCTTGCAGAGGCCCCAAAGACTTATTAAACGCCTGTTTATGAGCTGAAATGCCTCCTTTCCTTTCAATTCATTATAGTCCTATCAATATTTATTAACTTCTCTACAGAGTTCTGAGTGCCGGGAACACAGAGATGGATCTGAACTTGGTTCCTTTGCTTTCCTTACTATAAACCAGAGGGACAAGGATTTATTATTATTATTATTGAAATGCTGTGTTTCCCCTTTATATTCGGCTCCTGTCACCTCCTCTAGGAAGCCTTCACAACCCGCCCAATGGGTTCCTATCCTCTATACTTGGATATACTCAGTGGCTATCTTTGCACTTAATAAGATTGCACTTAACACTCTGTACTGTCATATTTAGTTATTTATGCATTCATTTATGTTTTAGAGCTAGGGGAAGGTAGAGAGAAAGAGAGGGAGAGAAACATCAATGTACGAGAGATACATGATTGGTTGCCTCTCGGTTGCCCCCTACTCGGGAACCTGGCTCGCAGCCTAGGCATGTGCCATTACTGGGAATCGATCCTGTGAACTTTTGGTTTGCAGGCCCATGCTCAGTCCACTGAGCCACACCAGCCAGGGCATCAGTTTTTCTTTCAAGAACTTTTCAGTCAAATTGTATTATAATCATTTGGGTTAAAATACATGCAGAGTAAATAGAGGAAGCCCCCAGGAGTGCATTGCCTAAGATAACCAAAGGATACAACCTTTAAAGTGTTTTAAAAATATATATTTTCTCTTTTTTCCCTTATTTTGTATGATGTTTTTCCAATTGTATTCCAGAGCTGATGCTTTTTTTCCCTATTAATATGTCTTCTTTCCTCATGTAATTTCACTCCCCTCTGGCATTAGTGTTTCTAACAGAATTTTTTTTTCTTCTAATGACCACTTTTCTTGTTCTTGAGAATGTGTGTATCCACAGTTTACATTTCATTAATCTGCTTGTTCAGAAGCCTAAACGTTTTTTCTCCTTCCTCAACTTTGGGTTTAGAGAAATAATTTTTTTCTTTGACCCCATGCACATACAAATGAATAAATGACTATATTCACATATATAATATATATACTTTAATATTTTCTTTCCAGATAAAACTGCTTCCCCCATCCCCACTTTGACCTCGTTCAGTATTTATGTTTTCTGGTGGTCTCTGCTTTTATTGAGCCACTTTTTCTTTTTTGACCATTTAAGTTTTAGTGCAGAACAGACAAAAAGTTTCTTCATCATTTTCCTCTTATTCTAGATATTGGATTGTTGTCTTTAGTAATTCAGTATTTATAAAAGAACTAAACTCCACCATTTGATACTACATTTATCTGCATATCAAAGATGGTTTATGTCTTCTGCAGTGAACTCTTCAATTGGAAACATTAACTGATTACTATATATATCAATTTTTATAATTGTTATTTATATTTATTTCAGTGTAATTGAAAAATCCTCTTGTAGCTATGGGTTCTAAGGTTTAAAATATTTCCTAGGGTAATAGCGTCTGATTTTACAAATGGGAACTAAAACTTCCTTATGTACTTGGGAAATTCTAGAGTTTTTCTTGAACTTTTTTTTGGATTTTCCCTTTTGCTTATATATCTTTACTTTTTTACTTGAAGCATTCAAAAATAGTTTTAAAGTCCAAATCTTGTTTTAAATAGTAGGCAAGAGAAAAATATTACTTAAATTCAGAGAGGTTGGCCTGTTGCCTTTTTTTTTTGCTAAGGAATTGAAGTCTTGTAGTAAATTGAGAATGCCATGCATTGTTTTCTGTTTTTTCTCAATAACATGAGTGAATACAGCAACAGCTCATGGAAGATTAGTTGTCTGTTAAACTTACACCATCTTATACAAGGTATTAGTAATTTTGAGGCTGTCAGAAGACTGTCCTATTTGAGAAAAAAATAAATTTAAATTTCAGGCACTTTTGAGTTCATCTTAGGAAAATTATGCTGCATGTGGATGAGTGGCCTGGAGGTTTGGTAAAGATGGAAACTTTGACACATAAATCTTACAGTTTTAGAGTGTGATAAGTGCTAAAAATATGGGGAGACATACCTTTTGCTAAAAGGCCAGGGGATGTCTGGTGAGCTGGGCTGGAGATATTGTATTCTGCCAGCTCCCCAAATGCCCTACATAAGGGTTCGCTAGCTCTTACACTCAAACAAGAGCATGGTTACCTCATGTAATTGTAAGAGCTTTCTTTTACAAGCTCTACCTCCTGGATCTAAAAACCAAATTCCAACCAAAATACCTTACTTCACCACCAGCTCCATCATGCTTCATTGTAGGTTCTGAAATGATGAGTAGGCATTACATATGTGCAGGCGTGCTGAAGCTGTGTGGTAATGGCCAATTAGTTGGTTTAAGGCCTAGAAGGGTGAGCTTGGCAGACCTGGCCAAGCTACCACAGCCTAATGAAGATGAGTAGGAAATTAACCTATCACCACATGTGACAGGTACCCAAGGAGAATAAGATAAATGCCAGAAAAGAGTAAAACAATGTTATGAAGAAGGAGGAGATGACAAGATGGGATAGAGTTTTCCTAGGCAGAGACTAAGAAGAGGGAAGGAGCTTTCCAAATGGGGGAAAATACTTGAGCAAAGATGTTGGGACAGAAAAAACACTGTCCAGGGAACATTGAGATTTTTATTTGTCTTGAGTTAGATTATGGGTTGGGCAAAGGTGGGAGAAACTGTTAGGTGTTTGGGCTCTGTATGAGAAGTTTGCCCTAGTGAAAGTTGAACTTTGGTCAAGAAGGAGTGGGCCACTATATTAAATGGATTTAGCTTTATTGTCCCTAGTGACTCTGCTTAAGTTTCTATATTCAATTAGATAATTCATGATCTCTTTTTGATCTAGATCCTTTGTCATTCTGTGGTTCTTTCATTCCCTCATTTTCTCCAGCCTGGTTGTTACTGTTATGAACCAGGGAGGTCATGGACCTCAGTTACTGGAGGTCATGTTGTTGGAATCTGTGGGAGCTTCCCTGAGAGTCATGGGGCTGAGCCTCATCAAGGAACTTTATGAAATATACCTTTTAATTTTATGTCATTTTATAATTAAGATTGTCTATTGTTTGCAGGCTATTTGCTATAATTGAAATGCACTGCTTGTGAAGCCAAATAAGTTTTGATGTGTATTTTTAGCCACTGATGCATTATAATGATTAGTAACATCGTAATTTGAAATGTGTTTATACTTCAGCCTAAGCACATGGCCTTTTAGATTCTGTTTGGTATACATCTGCAGCGTTTCAGAAATTCCAGAAACTTTGTGATGAATGACCTCATTTTAAGTATTTGGGGGTGGAGCACAAAATGACATGTCACACTTGCAGGAGGAAAGATGTGTTCATCATATTAGCTGTTTGAATTGTTACACATACAGGCCTCCTCCACAGGCTCTGTACATGAATGGAGAAGGAAACTGGGTTCTGTTATCTTCAGGGTGAATGCACAGTGCTTGTGTGAGATGGCCACATTCTGTGTTGCCCAGGGGGTCATGTAACCCCTTCTCCTTTTTTTAAAATCCTCACCTGAGGATACGTTTATTGATTTTTAGAGAGGGGTGGGGGGAAAGAGAAAGAAAGAGAGACACTGATGGGCTGCCTCCCGTGTGCACCCTGACCAGAGATCGAACCTGCAGCCTAGGTGTGTGCCTTAATGAGGAATCAGATCCACAACATTTTGGCCTGTGGGACAACACTCCAACCAACTAACCAAACCCGGCCAAGGCATCCCTTCTCCTTATCTTTTCAGAAACTGCTGGGCGACTCCTTCAGGGACTTCATGTTCATATCTCAGTGGGGATTCCCAGACACCTGAAAGTTGCATTCTGCTCTCTGCAGCTGGCAAGACAGGCAGGTTTCTAGAAACTACATTTACTTCCATGCTGGGGCTCGGTGGACATGACCTTGCTTTCTTGCCATGCCATGACATTGCTTCAGGTAGAGAAGTGGCATAAAGAGTGGAATCTTATGTATGTCCTTGGATAGGTTAAGGCATCATGGGAACCAGTCAAGCTGTGCAACTGATTACAGAGACTCTTGTGTGTTTTGGATACCAGATGGTTTGGAGGCAAAGTTGACATTCTTTGAGAAGGATTGAGAAGCCTTACTAAGAGGGAACTACATTTTACTGTCACCAGTTAGAGCTAATGCTGGATGCTAAGGAGTTACGTACTTGGCAGAAGACGTTACTGACCAGGCCTGTGTGGGTTCTTCCCAGGAAAGCTTTACACAGTAGGAGACGCTTCAGGTGACGCTGAAAGCTGAGAAGGGTTTTGCTAGGCAGGTAAATGGAAGAGGAAATCCGGGCAAAGGCACAGAGTATGCATAGGAAAGAACTTGTTTGGTTGAAGCCAAATGGCAAGGTGTGTGTTAATGAGAGATGAGGGCAGGCATTAGACCACGAGAGGCCTTGAATGCAAAGAAAATTGGAGCTTGCAATGGGAGATGAGGAACCATTGGAAGGTTTGAATTAGGAAAGTGACTTGGTTCAAGCATGACCTTCAGAAAGTTTATCCTGATGGGAGATTGGTTTAGAGAGGGTGAATGCCACAGGCAGGGGGAACAGGAAGGCCGGGGGAACAGGAAGGCCAGGGGAACAGTATGGGTGAGAAATGGGAGCTAGGGCACACCCTCGTTTAAGGAGCAGGTGCAGAAAGAAGGTGTTGAGGAGTCAGAGGTTAGAGAAGAACTGTGTAGGGTATGGAGGTGCAAGGTCAACCAAGGGAGAAGGGTTTCAGGGAGGGGTTAGTCTGCAGGTCTTGGATGTGGCCCCTGCGAGGTCGCAAGTGCCTCAACACCAGCACTGTAGAAGGAATGGGACACTAGGGTGAGAAGGGGGAGGCACTCACCTCTGGCGCAACATTTAAGGGGATGCTTAAAAGCTCAGTAATCAAGATGAATATTTTAATGCGATATTTTGAAAAAAAATGACAGTGCAAAAAATCCACGAACAAAATACTAGAATTTAAAACAGGGATAGCATTAGTATTAATCATTTTTCCTTTGTTAGGGTCTAGTTTGGCTCTGCACAGAGTGTCAATGAGCAAAGGATATGGGGGGAGGGAGGATGCAGGTAGACGCATATTGAAGAGTGAATTGAAGTTGAAGTGTTTGAAGCATCGAGTGCAGACTCTTCCTTCATAAAGTCCCAGCTTCACATGAAAGGAAAAATTGCAAAGGATGGTCTCTCTAGGGGATCTCAGGCTTAAGGATTTTTTTAAAGATGAAAGAGACTTGATCATGCTTACAAGATGTGGGGAGGCGTCCTTGGAGGTAGGGGAGAGATTGATGAAAGAGTAGGAGCTCATGGAGCCAGGAGGACATGGGGAGTGGGTGGTCCTGGACAAGCCCAAGGACAAGTGCCAGCCCCACAGTGGGAATGTGGAAGGCTGCGGGAGCTCACTCCTGGTTAAGTGGCAAAGTCATTTGATGAGGAGTCATCTGATATGCGACGGCACCAGTGGGTGGCGTTAGTATGGAAAAAAGCAGTGAAGGCGGAGCCTTTGTGTGGAGCTGACCAAGGTCTTTTAAAAGCAGTCGTGGAGCAGCAGTAAGGGGCCTGCTGAGGTCGAAAACCTCGCAGTGTGGTGTGATCTTTTCCCATCCCTTCAGCAAGATTTGCTACTCTAGACATAGGAATGGAGGAGGCGCCCCACTGAGGATGGGATGCTGGGCTGACAAGCCATCCTGCTTTCCCGGAACTGAGGAATTTTCTGGGACACAGAACTTTTAGTCCCAAAACTGGACAGTCCTGGCAAATCAGGACCACTTGGTCACTCAAGGTGTCGCAGAGCTGGTGGTCAGGAGGCAAAATGGCAAGAGAGTTGAGGGTGCTGGCTGGAGTTTGTAGCAGGTGCTCTAGGTCCAGTCTGGGGAGAAAGGGAAGTGAGGCTATTACTTGGTAGTAATTTGTGAAAATTCATTCATTTGTTCATTCATTCATCCAATAGATAGTAATTGAGTGCCTACTATGAGCCAGGCACTGGGGTCCATGGAGAAGATTTAACCAAAAATAAGATATAAATGCCCTCATGCGCTATCTGTCTGTAGTGGCTAATGCCACTTGGTCCTCAGGACCCATCCTCACTTATGTCCCGAGAGTGAAAAAGGGCAGACTGCATCTCCCTGGCTTCTTTACAAGTAGGACGTGAACTTAGTTCTGCCACTTAGGTGCATTCAGGCAGAATTTATAAACAGAAGTGAGGTAGAGACCAATAGCTGGTTGCTTTTCTTAGTCTCTCTGCTGGCAAGCAAGCATTGGTGACCTGGGCACTTGGGCAGCAGCACTTACGTGTCCAATCACCAGCTTTGGAGAGTTTGGAGGCAGGTATGGTGGTGGTGGGCTGCCTTCTTATCTCTGGGTCACTGCAGGTGTTCTTTTAAAGAAAATTCTCACCAGAGAAGATGTTTATTGATTTTAGAGGGAGAAGAAGTGAGGAGGAGAGGACGGGGAGGGGAAAAAACATCGATATGAGAGGAACATTGACCAGCTGCCCTGACTGGGGATTGAACTGCCACCTAGATATGTGCCCTGACTGGGGATCAAACCCAAAACCTCTTGGTGCAGGGGACGATACTCCAGCCAACCGAGTGACAAGGCCAGGGCTCCCTGGAGGTGTTCTTGAGCTCGGTCCTCCCAGTGGCAGCCTCCTGATTCTCCACAGTCTTGTCTGAAACTCGGCCTTTGTGAGAGTCCCAGGAATCTTTCTCAGAAGCCCAGCCAAAAGCCCCTTCCTCTAGCTTTTGCAGCAATTTTGTTAACACCCATATTAAATGCCCGTCTAATGAAAATACCTGGTTCCTGTTTCTAATACCTGGCACCCTTTCTACCGGCCAGTTTACAAAAATCAGCTCTGGTAATTTAGTTCAGCTTTGTTTAAATGATAACTGGGATCCTCTCATGGCTTTCACTCAGGAAATGAAGCTGGAACTGTTTCAAGTCGATTGTGAAGATCAGGAACAGTTTGTACTCCGGTAAGGGTGTAGCAAAAAGGAAAGCATGTCATTCACTTGAAAGTTGACAGTCGCGGGGGCTGAGGGAAGAAAAGGGGAGTTTTTAAAGAATTCTGGACTATTCACACAGATACCAGTTTTGCCTAGATAGAGAAGTCTTAAAATAGTAGAGTGAAATGAAACTAACATGATATCAATCAGGAGGCCTGGGCATTTGAAAGCAGGAAAGGAAAAGGCTTGGGCTCACGTAGCTCCTCTACCCTTCACCTGAGTGGGGCAAAGCAAGTGACTCTGAGAGGAGGTGAGTGGAGTGCTGAGCAGGGCAGCTTAGGCGGAGGGTGGGAGTGGGGGCGGCGGGGGTCGCAAGTGATGGACAGTGTCCTTTTACTGAACTCTGAAGAACTCATTCTACCTGCTACCACCCTTCTTCATGCTCTACACCACATCTTTGGAGCACCATGTTAAATAAAATCTGACTTGTTCTTTTTGAACGTAACTTGGGGATGCCTCTAGGCTCTCTTGTTCAAAGGTTTATCTATGCATATACCAAGGAAGCCCTAAAAGCATTCTGAATGCTGTGAGATGTGAGTATGGCAGAGGCAGACACTGATTTTTCATTTTAAAAACCTATAACGTTTCCTTTTGGCTTGCTGTTGTTTCCTAATCTTCTTGTACTGTGGTCAGAGAATGTGGTATGAGGTATATTTATTTTAGTATCTATATACCTATTGTCCAGCTTATGAAGCAAAATATTACAAATTCAGTCATTTCCCTTCTGTGTTTTTATCTAGTCATGTTCCATTCATCCTGTAATGGAAAACAATTCAGTATTTATTATTACTATGTATGTTTTAATATTTTCACTACATATACACATATACACAAACTCCCTAAACAATATACAGGGTAGGGCAAAAGTAGGTTTATGGTTGCTCAAATGAAAAATAATACAATAATTAATAAATAATAGTACTAGAATAAACTCTGTTTCATGTACTCACAACTGGAAACCTACTTTTGTTCCACCCTGTATAGTATTATTTCGGAAACATTTAGGGTTTTGATGTATGCTTTAGCAATTTGCTTTTTGTCTAGGAAAAAATATTTGTTTTGCTTTTTGTTTGTGAGATTCATGTAGTTCTGGCTCATTTTCAGGGCTGTATAGTACTTCATTAAAGGACTATTACATTTTATCTAATCTCTTATTGGTAGGTTGACCTATCACCCTACCACTCCAACCCATTCTGACTTTCTAACCTAACATTGTCGCCTTGTTTTCATATAAATTTTTTTTCTACTTATGTATTTTTATGTAAGATGCTCCGAAACTTTTGTGAACTGAGATTATATATAAATAAAAATTTATTTATAAATAAAATAGATTCAATGTATATTTAGTGAGTCCTACCTCACTAAATATAGCTAGGTAAATATATAAATATACTTGTATGCAAATATGTAGCAGTAGTTAGCAGCTTGCCGTTGGGTTGTGTTTTCAGTTATTTATTTGCTGTGATTAACTTTTAACCTGACACGTGCTCTGATAGAAACAGACTAGGTACTCTCCCAGAACACAAACACTTCTTTACATATAAAACAGAAATTAAATTTTAGAGTAGATAGTGACTGACATTCACAGCTTAAAATTTGAAAGAAAATCAGTTGCTTTCCAATGGAAGAAGCTAAGAACATGCCCATAGCATGACCTCCCTACTGCTTCCACCCAGGTCCCATCCCAGGACTGAGATCTTTCCCCAGATCTTCTTGTCCACCTCCTTCCTGCCACTGGTACCAGCAGGAACTCTAGTGATAATTGCTGCCGTGCAGTAGGGTATTGAGAGGCAGGGGCCTCTGGCACTTTCAGGGGGGATGTGGGGAGGTGCTCTTGGCCAGAAGAGGTGATCAAAATTTGACAAGGTTCAGCTGTGGTGGCGGGTCCTATAGGCAGTCACGATGAAGCTGTGGTCAGGGCTTGGGACTGGCGGAGGATGGCAGTGAAGGTTTCTGCTTACAGGTAGAATGAGGGATTGTAAAGATGGAGAAAAACTAGGAAAAAGGGATGGGCTGGGAAGAGATGCCTCTTTCCACTATCATTTTTATATCCCACAGAGGGTGCCTTTTGCCATGACCAAGGCGAGGTCACTGGTTTCTTTCATGTAGTCAGCTGTTTAGTCACTGGGCTTTTCTTCTAGTGTGATTTCCCCTTCGCATACTACGTGGTCTACGCGGTAGTTTCTGATAAAGCATGTGGGAGGTATTTTTTCGAAAAACTTGTCTCTGGTTTCATTTCGTTTAAAATGTAAGTTATTTTCTTTGTCTGTGTTGGTTTGAGATGAGTTTCTTTATTAACTGAGGATTGCTTTTTATAGACTTAACAACCTGAATTTAAGCTGCTGGATTTGAGAGTCCAGTGAGAAAGGGAGAGCCCATATTTTGAATTTTAGGCATAAATTACATTGATAAGAGGCTTTTAAAAATTCCCTTTTAACCACAGAATACCTCCATTGGAAAGGACTCTGAGAGAAATGAAGAAAACCATCAGAAATGAAGTCAGTAGCCTTGTGGCCTTCTGTTAGCTGGACTGGTGTCTTCCTACTGCACTTCCTTGCAAGGACCCTCTACATGATGTCTGCTGAGGTCATCCATCAGATTGAAGAGGCACTCGATGAAGATGAGAAGGAGATGCTTCTTTTTCTGTGCCGGGATGTCGCTGCAGATGGAGCTGCACGTAATGTCAGGGACCTTCTGGATAGTTTAAGTGAGAGAGGAATGCTGTCTGCCATGGGCCTGGCTGAGCTGCTCTACAGAGTGAGGCGGTTTGACTTGCTCAAGAGGATCTTGAATACGGACAAAATGACTGTGGAGGCCCACCTGCTCAGGCACCCTCATCTTGTTTCAGAGTACAGGTAATCCTGGGATTGGGAGGGAATGAGGCAGTCTAGGCTTCTGAGCGAGAGAAACAAGCACAGTAAGAAAAGTCACCTCGCTGCTGTCTCTGTTCACTGATCCAGCTGATAGATAAGTTACTTCATTCCTTTATACTCTTTGCGTTCTCCTTTTTTCTTTTTTTTAAGATTTTATTTATTTATTTTTAGAGAGAGAAGAAGGGAGGGAGGAAGAGAGGGAGAGAAACATTGATGTGAGAGAGAAACGTCAATCAGTTGCCTCTCGTACGCTTCCCATCCCGGGATCAAACCCACAGCCCAGGCATGTGCCTCTGTCGGGCATTCAAACCAGTGACCTTTTGCTTTGTGGGATGACGCTCAACCAACTCAGCCACACCTGTCAAGGCAAATTCTTTGAATGCTTAGATTGTATTTGCTTAAAGTAATTGGAAGGGATAGATGGTATGTGTTTGCTGAATGAATTTAACAAGAAAGGTAGGAATGACTAAAGACATCATTAATTCTCACCAGCCTCTGAGATATGAGTGGCCTTTGTTAGCTTGATTTTCTATGATGTCAGACCTGGCGATTTTCCTACTGAGAAAGGAAGTAATTCTGGTGGTGCTCTTGCTCTGTGATCCCCTGGAAATCCTCACTGGTCTTTGGCCTGCTGGGGTAGCTAGTGAATTGGGCCTCCTTCTTGTGAAGACCCTGAACCCAGAAGCTGTGGGAAGCCCAAACTGAACATCTCTGCAATTAACCACCTCTCAGCCCCCATCAGTTCAAAGAGGAATGTCTGCTGGAGTCCTCTTTAGTTCAGACAGCCTTTAAATTGTTCCTTCTTCCTGTTCACACAGTATTCTCTTGGAGGTTCTGGGGTGCACAGGAGCCACCAGAAAAGCAGTTTTGGGGGGAAATGAAGAGAACTTATCTTAAATTAGCGGTTCATTTTTCTTCAGACCATCAGCCTTTAGTTATATCAAATAACGTATGTTTTGAGATGATGTATATTATTAAAACTATATTAAAGAGAGTTGAAAGCAGCATGGACTTTGGAAAGTATCTGAGACTTGAGGTCTGAAGGCCTGACTCAAGCCTCAGAATTGTCAGCTACAGGCCTGGTAGGCTGAGTCAGCCACAAACATTGGTTGGGGCTTCTCTTTCCTACTTGTAAAGCTAAGAATAATTTAATAACTAATTTCACAAGTTTGTTTGTGAGAATCAGTTGTGATAATTTAGTGGGTGAAGTACCTTTTAAAACTGTGAAGCTCTCTAAAATGTAATTGCTGTTGTTATTCTTGATCCTCTTCTACCTCTCCAACCATCATATAGCATCTATAATCTTAAAACCTTTTGGGAGGCACTGGCTGGGTTTTTGTGAATAAGTCACGGGGCATTCCCTCCATTTCCTGTTTCCTGTCTGTGGTACGTGGAAGCAGTTTTCAGAGGCCTCTGGGCAGAAAGGCCAAGGAGTGGGAGGTGAGTGCTAAATTCATTTATTCATCTGTTCAGTAGGCTTTTTGTGGGTTGTCATATGCCAGGTATTTGGGAAGTGCTAGAGCAAAATGAATGAAGACTCTTCCATCCTCAAGACTCTGAGGGTCTAATCGGGAAAACAGCCTTCTAAGCAGTGATGACAATTTTAAGGTAATAATGCTAATCATGAGGTGCCCTGGGATTCCAGATAAAGCAGGATAGTAGCTCTGACTGGAAAAAGGTGACTGACTCAGGAGGGGCTTCCTAGGGGACTACATCTGTGGTTATGGCCCTGAGGCTCTAAATGACCTTTACCCTTTGAGTTTCAGAGTGGGCTGGCACATCCCAGGTGTTACTTTGCTTTAGAATCTTGTGACTCAAAGAATAGTCCCTGGGTCATCATGAGTATTATCTGGAAGCCAGTTAAACAGAGAAGACAAGATCACTTTCAGTCCTATTTCTGTCTTCATCTTAGTCATTCAGGTTCTTTACTTACTTCTTCGTAACTCCTTGGGGACCTAGGGGATCTTCAGGAAAGTTTTTATTCTCTGAGTTGTTTTCAGAGCAGTTAGTTGGAAAGAAAGATACCATCTCCTATTGAAAACTGCGGGGGTGGGGGGGAATGAGTTTCCTTTTTGAGTTTCCTTAAGATCTCTTTTTACGGTAATCTAGGTTTTCTGTCTTATGGGGGGTACATAGAAATGGGGACAAGAATTAGTCTCTTTAAAAAAAATTTATATATTTTTTTGTTTGTGATATTGAAGTTGTCCCAATTTTTCACCCTTTGCCCCATCCTGTCAGCCCCCCTACTCCCTCAGGCAGTCCCCACACCACTGCCCATGTCCATAGGTCATGCATATCTGTTCTTCAGCTACTCTCTTCCTTATGCTGTACTTGACATCCCCGTTACTATTCTGTAACAAACAATTTGTACTTAATCCCTTCACCATTTTCCTCTGTTACCCTGACAACCCTCCCATCTGGTAAACCATCAAAACATTCTCTGTAACCCTGCCGGATGTGGCTCACTGGATTGATTGCTGGCCTGCGAACAGAAAGATTGCTGATTTTATTCCCAGTCAGAGGACATACCTGGGTTGCAGGCCGGGTTCCTAGTTGGGGTTATGCCAGAGTAACCAATCAGTGTTTCTCTTGCACATTGAAGCTTTTCTCCTTCTCTTTCCCCCTCCCTTCTTCTCTCTCTAAAAATAAAGAAATAAAACCTAAAAAGAAAATTTCTCTGTATCTATGAGTCTGTTTCTGTCCTGTTTGTTTATTTTAATTTTTAGATTCAATTGTTGATAGATATGTATTTATTGCCATTTGTGTTCATATGTTTGATCTTCTTCCTAAAGACCTTTAAACATTTCATATAACACTGGTTTGATGGTGATGAACGCCTGTAGCTTTTTCTTGTCTGGGAAGCTCTTTATCTGTTCTTTGATACTAAGTAATAGCTTTGCTGTGTAGAGTAATCTTGGTTGTAGGTCCTTTCTTTTCATCACTTTGAATATTTCTTGTCAATCCCTTCTGGGCTGCAAAGTTTCTTTTGAGAAATCAGCTAACAGTCTTATGGGAGCTCCCTTGTAGGTAATTAACTGCTTTTCTCTTGCTGCTTTTAAGATCCTCCCTTTGTCTTTAACCTTTGGCATTTTAATTATGATGTGTCTTGATGTGGGCCTCTTTAGGTTCATCTTGTTTGGGACTCTCTGTGCTTCCAGGACTTGTGTGTCTATTTCTCTCAGCAAGTGAGGGAAGTTTTCTGTCATTATTTTTTCAGATAGGTTTCCAATTTCTTGCTCTCTCTCGTCTCCTTCCAGCAACCCCATGAAGGAAATGTTGGTATGCTTGAAGTTGTCCTAGAGGCGAGTTACACTATCCTCAATTTTTTTGAATCTTTTTAAAATTCTAGTGTTCTGATGGGTTGTTTTTTGCTTTCTTATATTCCAAATTGCTGATTTGATTCTTGGCTTCATCCACGATACTGTTGATTCCTGTAAATTTTTCTTTATTTTAATTAGTGTATCCTTTATTTTTTACTGAATTTTTTTTATGCTCTTGAGGTTCACTGATCATTTTTATAACCAGTGTTTTGAACTCTGCATCTAGTAGATTGCTTGCTTCCATTTTGTATGGTTCTTTTTCTGGAGTTTTGTTCTGTACTTTCATTTGGGCCATGTTTCCTTGTCTCCTCATTTTTGCAGCCTCCCTGTGTTTGTTTCTGTATATTAGGTAGAGCTGCTACATCTCCCAGGCTTGGTAGAGTGGCCTAATGTAGTAAGTATACTGTAGGGTCCAGTGGCACAGCCTCCCCTATTACCCAAGCTGGGTATTTGAGGTATGCCCACCATGTGAGCTGTGCATACCCTCCTCTTGAACCTTGAGTGCTGTTGGCATATCAATGGTCAGCCACTGCCTGTGTTCTGTTAGGGGTCACGCAGCATAAGCTACAGAGCAATTTGAAGATGGCTGCTACTTGTGCTGGGTTTTTGGGTGCCTAGGAGAGGCCAAGCTTTGAACCAAGGCCAGCTACTGCTAGTGCTGGGCCTGAATCAACTTAGTGAGAGGTGTGGGAGATATTGAGGCCAGATGCTGCTTGTTTGAGAGAATTTAGGAAAATATGAAGCATGTGCCAAAATAAACCATTCATATGGAAAAGCCACTGGAAACAGGTTGGGTGGGCCCAAAAGTTGGGTGGAACAGGGCCTTAGGGGATCATCAGGGTGGGGCGAATAATGTGAGCCAGTTTGGTGAGTGTCAGATACAATGTATGCCTGCCAGCTCTGTGACTCTGTTGGGGAGGGAGGGCTCAGAAAAACAACAATGACCTCTGCCAGCACTTCTGTCTGGGAAGAAGCTGTCTCCCAGCTCTTGCCCTGATGCTGGACAATTCAGTTCCTCCCCACATGTGTCTGGTGCCTTTTAGTCTGCTTCCCCTGTGCTGGAACTCAGAGGGAGTGAGTCCAAGTAAGTCTTTGCATGGGCCCTTTAAGAGGAACTGCCTGAGACTCCAGCAATTTCTGTCTTTCACAGCCTCAATCCCTGCTGGGTTTTACAGCCAGAAGTTATGGAGACTTATCTTCCTGGCACTGGAACACTGGGCTGGGGAGCATGTTATAGGGCTGGCACCCCTCACTCCTGAGATATCCCTCCCGATTTTTATCTGCTACACATGGATGTGGGACCAGCCCATTCTGCATCTCCACCCTTCCCACCAGTCTCAGTATGGTCCCTTCCTTAATTCCATGGTTGTGGGATTTCAATTCTTCTTGATTTATGACGGTTCTGAATGATGGTTGTTCTACAGTTCAATTGTAATTTTGATGTGGTTGTGTAAGGAGTTGAGTCGTGTTTACCTACGTTGCCATCTTGACTGGAAGTCCAAGAATTAGTTTTTTAACCAATTATTATCAAAGAGGAGGCATAGACTCTTGGTATTCTCATTGGTACTGGTATCTGAATTTTAAAGAAACTTGTCTCTTTTACAGAGTGCTGATGGCCGAGATTGGTGAAGATTTGGATAAATCTGATATGTCCTCATTAATTTTTCTAATGAGGGATTATATGGGCCGAGGCAAGACAACCAAGGAGAAAGATAAGGTGAGGTTTTTTTTCTTGGTTCATATTCCCAAGAGCCTATCAGAAGTTGGAGGATACTCTTTACAGTGTGAAGAGAGGGAAGCAGGCATTTGAGCAGGGAGGCCCAAGATGGGGGTGAAGGCAGAAAGTGAGAAGAATATGGTTTTTAAAAAATTATTTAAAGATTTTATTTATTTATTGTTAGAGAGAAGGGAAGGGAGGGAGAACAAGAAGGAGAGAAATATCGGTGTGTGAGAGAACATCGATTAGTTCCCTCTTGTATGCTCCCCAACTGGGGATCAGGCCTACAACCCAGGCATGTGCCCTGACTGGGAATCAAACTGGTGACCTTTTGGTTTGAGGGACAATGGCCAACCAACTGAGTCACACCAGTCAGGATATTTTTTGTTTTTTAAATAATGACACAATGGTAAGAAAATTGGTTTATGAATTGAGAGGAAACAGGGAGATATCTTCTGGTATGGTCCTGTTTGTTTCTCTCATCCATGTTTTTTATTCTTTGCTTGTGTTAAATCCATAGGCCTGGCTTATACATCAGTTTTTGTCCCCAATTTGACAGATTGTCTGGTGTATAGGTGGTTTCAATTGCTCATGCTGAGTAGAAATAGGTGAGAAGTGTTAATCCACTCTCATCTTGCTCTCATACTTAGATGTCTTTCTCCTCAGCTAGCTCAAGGTCAGTGTGGAGTCATTAGGCTGCATGTGGAGATATGTCCTTGTGACTGATATATCCAGGGAATGGCATGAGTAGAGATTTGGGGTTGAAAACTAGGTAGGGGTGAAGATCTCAGGGATGCTGTGATTTCTAGAAGAGTATTTAAACTCCAGCTGGCCTTATATGGTACAGCTGACCTAAAGACAGGCCAGGAAGAACTCAGGTCTCTAGTATTTGACAGTACATCCATAAGGGACCTGTTGAGGAAATCATTGCTTGGGGATTCCCTCATGTTTCTCAGTGATTATAGTTTCTGAAATCCAGGAATACAGAGTAATTATATGCCCCCTCCATCAAATGGAAAATGGGGAAGGAAAATGAAAAAAATTGAACTCTTTTTTTGGTGTTCCCTAATCAACTTATCTCCCAGTCATTTATATGGATTTAATTATGGTTATTATATTTAAAAATGAACATAGCACTAAAGTAAGCAAATGTTAAACAGAAGGGAAATAAAACCAAAAGCAATGCCTATTTATGCAATATAGTTCTTTCACAATTACTGTGGTCTTGTGTAAATGAATAGCAAAGTGCCATACCCTTGAGATTTTGCCACCTCATATCCTCTGAGTTGGAGTGAGTTGAAATATCTGGCATTGATTAAAATGTGTCATTGGGATTTTTCTAGCAAGAACTTTCCCCAAACTACCTTCTCTCTTCCTTTTTCAGGAAAGCCCTTAGAGTTTTTCAGTAGAACACCAGCTTGACTTTCAAGAGAAAAAACTCAGGAGGATTTTACTTTATTTTTAGGCCTGCTCTCTCACCATACTCCTTGATGACACAAAATGGCCTATGTAGTCATCTCCAACCTAGGTACAGGTTGGCCACCAAAAGGCTTATGTCTACCTCTTTGCTGAGTAAAATTCAGGAGTGTAATTTGTATCTGGCCTTGGAGGGATTATCAAGCAGAGAGGTCTGGTTTAGGATCATGAAGGTGTGAAGGCGCTCCACTTGCCACCTCTTCTTGCTGTTGTGATCCACGGCCTGAAGTTTTGCATCTGGGGCTTAGTAGTCAGCCCTATTGACATTATTTCTTGTTGGTGCCTCTTTTAGAGTTTCTTGGATCTTGTGATGGAATTGGAGAAACTAAATCTGGTTGCTCCAGATCAATTGGATTTATTAGAAAGATGCCTGAAGAACATCCACAGAATAGACCTGAAGACAAAAATCCAGAAATACAAGCAGTCTGGTAAGCAGAATTTTGGCTTCTCAGTGGCCTAAGGAAAGTACCCCGTGCATGGTAGGTTTGGTTGGTAAATACTCATTGTTGGCTGGGTAGATGGAACAGAACCTGGATGTTCACAGCCCCTGCTAACCTGTGATTAGCGATCATATCCCTTTATATCCTTCATATCCCAGATCTGACTTCATTACTCCATGCCCATAACCACAGAATCTTGGCCTTCCCCAACATGTTACCAAGCAGTTCTTAACACTCCCGCCTTCAAGAAAGAGTTTGTACTCCAATTTTTTGCACCAGGTGGAGGTGCTTCGGACATTCAGGGCTTTTGAATATATGCCAAGCCATGCTGCCTTGCTCCAGTGTTTGCCCTGACCACTGTCCAACTCTGGGTGGTTTCTTGTCACTGGGGACTCATAGCTGCCATGCCTGTATTCTGAATTTCACAAAACCTTTTCATGAAAAAGGATATCTTTTCTGCTGATAACCCCTTCCTCTGTAAAGGGGACCAGATTCACACTGGCCTTCTCTTGTGTGCCACCCTTCCCCCTTTGACTTTTAGACTCAGCCTCAGCTTGGGCTCTGTTAGCAGTCTGCTGCCACCAGAGTCACAGCCTAAAGGGCATGGCTGACACCCAGTGATCTATAGACTCTTCCCCATGCACCCCCACACCTAAATGGTACAAAGAGTAGCATTTTTAGTCTATTCCTAAAGACACTGGTAGAGGAGTCATCCGACCTGATATTTTGAATTAAGGAGGTTGCTGGTAAGGTTAGGGTGTTTTCAAAGATGATGATTGACCTTGGACTAAACCATTGTTGAAGATTCGTTTGGTAATTGGAAAACCCTAACGCAGTCCCTCTCTCCTGCTTACAGCTCAAGGAACAGGAACAAGTTACGTAAACTCTCTCTCAAACCTGAGTCTTAAGGATCCTTCATATAACTTAAGGGTGAGTCTGGAGCAATATTATGGAATCCCAGCATGAAGGAGCTTCAGAAAGTTAATTAAAATATGCCTTTTCTCACAGCATGTACTTTATTATCTGAAAAAAATATGACAAATATGCATTCATTTTAATAATATGTATAACTTCTTATGATTACAATTCATTGAGATAATTGGGAAAACACAGAGATATATAAAAGAAGAATAAAAAAATTACCTCTACCCCACAACCCAAAGATAAGCACTGTAATCTCATTATATTCCTTTCTAATCGTTTTTCTATGTCTGTTGGTGTATGACATATATAATTGAACATTTTTTCATTGTTCACTTGTTCTTTTGAAAATTTAGCTTTTTAAATAAAATTGGGCAGAACATGTCTATGACAAAACAAATTCAAAATGGTACTAAAACTTTTTAGAGTATGTTTCCTTTTAGAAGCATCTGTAACTATCTTCTTCTCTAATCACCCAAAAATAGTCTGTACACATATCATATTTCATTTTTGTTTTATGCACATTGTCCTGTTTTGAGAATTCTTGGAAATTATTCCATATGAATCCTATGTAACTCCTATATTTGATCATTATTTTAATCGCTACACATGTTTCTACTCTTTAGATGTATAACAATGTGTTTAACCTTTTCGTATGTATGTATATGTAGATTACTCACAATCTTTTGTTATGCAAACAGTGCTTTAAAATAAATACCTTTATATTTACATCTCTGGGCATTTGCTTTTTATTGAGCTTATTTTAGTGATTTCGGCACAAGTGTTTTTGTTATTGAGAAATGTTACTGATTTGTGAACACAAATATCACATAGTCACTTCTGGTTTTTGTGTTAGTAGATGGTGCAAGGTATTCTCAGAATTATTTTTTGGTCAGTGTTTTATCCTGAGAAGTTAATCTTAGTGTAATCTCATCTTCGTCCCCATATAAAGATGTGTGGAATTTGTAGTGAGGACTTAGACCATAGTGCAATTTCATGGTTAAATTATAAACACTTTCATAACATAACTACCGTTGTGATGTAAATAGTTTCATGAAAAACATGAGCTGTAAAAGATACCACTGAGCAATGGAAATCAGAGCTAAAATGGATGTTAAGGATTATGGCATCCAGCCCCCTCAGTGAGCAAATAAGAAAACACAGTCCTACAGAACATTAAGTGATTACCCAACGCCAGCTATCACTAGAATTGGGCCCAGTCCCTGCTCTTTCCTCTGTACTGTGGTATATTTAATAAACTACTGACTAGACATGCCATCACTTAGATATAGCTATCATTTTTCAAGAATCAGTTATGATTTCCTTTGTCTTTCTGAATCCTTGTGATACAAAATCATGAGACAAAACTGATTTAGGATGCAGATCTAGATTTTTCTAAGCTTCCTCTGCTATTGTCTATCTAATATGAGTTGTATTACTGTTCTCAGTTAAAAGCCTGCCATATTTTTACTATTGTCTTTCTATTTTGTTAATGAAAGTAACTGTATTCATTGCTTATGTAGCCTATGGAGAACTCAGATGCTCTGTGTGTAAACTTCTTAAATTTGCTATGTTAACCTGTGACCTTGATTATTCATTCATTTAGTAATCAGGCACTGTGGCATAGGAATTCAGTGAATTTCTCACAAGATTTAGGAAATGAATATCTGGATATTAACTCATACAAAACTGCAAAAGTGCTTTAAAAATTACGGTGACATTAAATGACCTATGATACCAACATATTATAGAATCTAATCCTTTTTATTTTATATTTTTTGCAATATAATGCTATTAAAATCTAGCTTTGATGTAATGTTATAGATTTTTAATAGTATGCAGAAGTGAATGCATATCCATATGGGACTTGAACTTCTATTTAATATCATCTACCTATAGTTAAGTCACTGGTTTTTAGGGATAAAAGCAAATTACATGTTCTTCTTTAATTTAGACACACAGACTTAAAGACACAGGTTAATGAACAGTATACTTCTCTCTTTTGGCTAGGATAGCTTCAGAGGAGAACTGTCATTTGAAAGCTGAGCGTATCAAATGATTGACAGTATGTGATATGTGTACCTTACACAGGACCTGTCATCTGAGAAGAGAAAGGGTCGGTCAATCTTTCATTCTCTGATTAATCTCACTGTAGCTCTCAGAAGTGGTAGCAATTATCAAGAACCAAGCCCACATGTGGCTTATGTACAATTAGGCAATTATAGGAAAACAATAAGTGGGCATTTATTAAGCACTTCCATGTGCTTTGCATTGTCCTGAGTGCTTAATATACATTTAACTTTCACTTTTGAAGATAAAGAAACAGACATATAGAAGTTAAATAACTTGCTTTAAGTTACATAGCTAGTAAGTGGCAGAACTGAGATTTATAGCAAGGGTTGTTCGGGCTAGAGCTCCCACTCTTAACCATGAATACATTGCCTCTATGTTAAAGATCAGGTTGAAGGTCAATTGCATGTTTTAACAACTTGTTCTATCTTGGAGTTCTTATAGTAACTCCACCATAACATCTGACTTGTTTGAGCTGTTTTGAAACATTCTAATAGGCTAGTTTAGCATATTTATGCATTAATTGTATTTTTACTTTTTGAAAAAATAAGTTGCCTTGTTCTTTGGCTACAAGATAGAGGATTCATGGAGTTAATGGCTCTCGCTATTCCCCTTTAGATAATTTAATCTTGAATGTGATATTTTTATTTTTTCCTGGGTAAAAATCTTATTGAGATATTTAAAGAGATGTGCTATAATGTGACTCTGAAAAAAATAACAGGGAGTGTGACCTTTTTCTTTATATTTGAAGCTTCAGAATGGGAGAAGTAAAGAACAAAGACTCATGGTGAAACAGCCTGACATTCAAAGTAAGACTAACTTCTCTTTATATTTGTTCTTTATAAATGCTTGATAATTCCAGTACAAAATGTTTTATTTTTTAGAGTTGGCCGTTTTCTTTATCTATACATTCTAATTAAAAGCTCTTGAAAAATAAAAAGCAGTTAAACTCTTAAAATGTATTTGTTGGTATTTCTAGTTATTTACTGAATCCACTTACAGTATTTGAATTTAAACACCTCTTACTCTACCAGCATCATCATCTTGGCTATATATTTTTAAGAGATGTAACATTTCTGCTTGAAATGGAACAGTATAACCAGGCCAAACATTAAGCTAGCCATGATAATGAGCCAAGTTACACCAAATATCATGGAGTAGGATGAAGAAAGTTTACTAGGGTCTTGTTTTATAAGCCCACTTAATAAATCTAGGTACTCTATAGATGACATCCTCCTCCCCTAAAAAAAAAAAAAGAAAAAGAAAAATACAATAAAAATCTAGTTATTTCTATCTGTATGATCTCTCTCTTCTCTTAAAATATCAGCACTCAATCCCATATTTTTAAAAAAGTGTATTTCTTTTGCTTGTCTTGAGTCCTCCTTGAAGGGAGGGCTGAGACTCTGCAGTGGAGAGGGCTGTGCTTCGGATCTCCTGGAGGCAGGCAGGGATTGACAGGAGGGCAAGGAGGGCCCGCTCTGCCTCACCCGAGGAGCCTGGGCTTTGTCCTGCGTGCAGCAGGGATCACGAACATTGTAGTGGGGCAGTGGCCTGATGGAAGCCGTCTTTGTGTGGCAGCCTAAATGCTGTCTGCGTGCACCTGGAAACAAAGCCTTTTGTCCCGATTAGCCAGATGGTGAAGCTCATGCCTGTCATTTCCTACCTGAAGTTCCACTCTCCGGGAAAAGCTACTGAGAAGCGAATTAATTCCTGAAATGGCTTCATTTCTTAAAACACTGGTGAGGTGGTGAGAATTAGCATTCCCTAGTTCTCCTTCAAACAGAAAACTGTTTAAAGGGAAATAGGAGACTGGGTAGGTTTGGACAGGAATTAAAAGCAATCTGTGTTCTTTCCATTGTGCTCCCTGATGGCAGGTGTATCCTTGATCGGAATTATACAGGTGAGGTAAGTGAGGCCCCGACACCCTCGATGATACTGGGGGGCCTGCTTACCTGCTTTTGCCTCGATGTGATTTATTTGCTAATAAAAGAAGAAAACATTCTGATAACTTCACCTAAATCTAACAGAAGTTTAAAGTGATCATACCAAGTATTTATATTACTTTGGATTTCTGAAGAGATTTCATCTGGGTGATGATGATGATGATGATGATGACGACGACAAGGACTACAATTTATTACACTCTTACCAAGTGCCTTCAACTGAGATATACATATTATATAGATTATTTTGTGATTCGTTAATCTGTTTATCCATGATTGCCAAAATTGAAAAATATAAAGTGAAATTTCCTCTTAATTCCAAGTATCAGACATAATCACTATTAATGTTTGATTTATATGCCTCTAAGGCTCCTATTTTTCACCTGTCTATGTGTAAATATATGAACACAAATACATATTTTAAGTACAGTGGATCAATATTATATTCTTTAGTAATCCATTTTTACTTAATATATCCTGCATAGCTTTTCATGTCAAATATATGAAGAGCTCTCTTATCCTTTTTAATATTGCATAGTATTCCATTTTATGTACCATAATTTACTTACCCTGTTTCATCTTGGTAGATCTTTAGTTTCTTTCTAGTTTGGGGGCATTGTAAATAGCCATTCAGTGGGTGCCCTTGACATTTTTGCACACTTGCTCTGTAAACTTCTACAAGTAGAATGTTGTTTTAAAAGGCGTTGCTAGTTGTTTTTTAGAAAGGCTGTTTGAACTTTTGCAGCTTTGGTATTTGAAAGTGCTCATTTCTCCTAAACCTTATCAACTCTAACGTTATCTTTGCCTGTCTTTAGACATTATTTCCCATGTTTGCAACAATATTATAAAGTAGATACTGGTTTGCTCATCTTAGAGATTTAAAACCCCCCTGAGACTTCAGGGAGAAACTTGCCCAAGATCACAGAGCTTGCCAGTGCCAGGGCTAGGGATCAAGCCAGCCCTTCATGGCTTTGAAACTGGTGCTTTCTCTACCTCCTTGGGCTAATAGCCATTTCTGTCTAACAAAATGTGCTTTAGGCTCATCTACATTTGCTAAGCTCACTATCCCTTATCTTGCCATTGACATTTTATTTTACGATCTTCCAATATCACCGGACTAAGAAAACATGGCCATCTGTTCAGTCCCTAAGGCTGTTCCCTTGGGTGTTGTCCACAGTTTTAGCACATGTTGGAAATATTTATAATGTTTGCAGTGAAGTTATTAGATTCTCCCCATCAGGTTAAAAACTCACCAGTCACCTGGTCCTCACCTGGAGAAGGTCAAGGGAGAGCCTTCTTTCACTCGTTATTTAAGCAGTCTTTCTACATGACCCCTGTTTAGCAGGGAGACCTGGGTTTCCTTACCAGTTTTTCACTGAGGTTGGAACCTTGGGGCTGAATATAGCTGAAGAAAGTTGATAGGGGAAGAAAAAACAGGAAGAGACAATTGTGGTATGAAGAAATGCAGCCAGCATGGGAGTGGGTTTAGTTCTCTTTCAGCTTTGTAAATGGTTTCTGTCTCATTTTCTAGGAGAACCAGTGAAGACATCCATTGAAGAATCAGGAGCATTTTTGCCTCGGGTACAGAATAAATGATTGATTTGGTATTGTAGTGTGTGCACAGTATCTGTGGAGAGCCCTGACTTCTTTAAAAATATCTGTCCATTAAGAATTTGTTTTTGTGACAACAGTGGGGTTTTGAGAGTGTTACTCCACTGAGTACTTTTCTAAAGGGGAACCTTGGTTGTAGCAAAGAGAAGTGGATTTCATTAGTGGAATGCAGAAAAATTCCGAAGTGGCATGTCTCTTTTCAGCTGAGTGAGATACCACTTGCACAAATTCACGTTACTGAGAAAAGAGGTGATCTATCTTTTCTCTTTGTTTCAAATTATCTTTATCCTGCAAAGCTAAGACAACATGTATGGAGACTACAGTTCTCATTAAAATTAAATAAAAACCTGAAAAAGCTCGTTGTCTTCAGCACATTACCCGAATAGAGGAAAAATTTGATATTGATGGGAAATGTCAACTGTGATGACTTCAGGCTCTATCTGTTGACTGACTTACCTGCCAAAAGAATGTCCAAGAAAATCCAAAAGAAAAGATGGTATGTAGGTGGGACCTTGTAGAAACAGCAGTATCCAGAGTCTTTAACAATCCCTGCTTTCCTTTCCAGCACATACCAGAAGAAAGATACATGATGCAGAGCAAACCCTTAGGAATCTGCTTGATAATTGACTGCATCGGCAATGACACAGGTATGTGTGGCTGCTACAGATTAATTGAAGGAGAACTAAGCCCACTCCCACAGAGATCACAGTGAGATCACGTGCAGGCAAGCTGTGTTCATCAGTGTGATGACCACTTGCTGCTGTAACAAACTGCTGCCAAAATCTGTATAAAGGGGAATTTTTGTTCATGACACAGTCTAGTGTGGATTGGGCTATACCTGACTATTTAGCCAGGGCATTGACCTCAAATAACAAAATGAAAACAGTCAACATAATAGCCATCTGGTGTGAATGAATCAAAACTATACCTATTTTTTTTTGTCAGATTGATAAACAATACCTTTTTTTAGTGTGCTGCAGAATTTTAGTAATTAGTTTATGTGTGCCAGGAGATGAAAATGGTTGAAAATCGCTGGGCTAGGGGGAGCTTTGTTCCACGTGGCCATTTAGTAGCTTCATCATCTGAGGCCTTAGAGTTTTCTACAGGATCTTGTAGATCTAGCTGGTGGATAAAGAAGTGTATGATCTCACGTACATTTGTGGACCAGGAAGTACATTTCCATCCACATCCTGCTGGTCAGAGCTCACTCATATTGCTCCATCTAACCCCACTAACTAGGAACTTAGTCAGCTGTGTGTCAGCAGGAAACTGACAGGGGACTTGGGGAACAATAGTCTTTTGTCTGGCACAAATGTGTAATTTGTGAAAGTTAGTGAGCTTTCGTTTTTTTCTTTCCATGCTGGATGCTGTCGCAGGGAGGAGTCCTGGGGCCCTGGTGGCATTCAAATGGAAGGCTTTCTGGTTTCAGTGTTACCAGATGCCTCATCATGTCACCCACATAGACCATGAAAGTTTTTCTGGAGTACATTAAAGATATGATAAATGAGTGTTCTCTTAGAGGCAATGTGTCACTTAGTTCTGCTACCCTGTACTTTGGCTGCTGCCCTCCGCCTGCTACCTGGGTGCCACTATTGTTTGAATCTGAATGGATTCTTTTGTCCAGTTGTGGTTGGATGTCTGATTCAAACCAGATCAGTCACTGGTGATGCATCAAAAGGGAATGAGAAATGTCTAGATAAGTGGAATATGGTTATGTTTAATTATTCATCTCTTTGAAAAGGTTGGTCATTCTGTTTCCTTCCAGCTTTCCAACATTTAAAAAAATATATTTCATTGATTATGCTATTACAGTTGTCCCAGCTTTTTCCCTTTTCCCCCTTCTGCCTGGTACCCCCATTCCCTCCAGCAATCCCCACCTTAGTTCATGTCCATGGTCATGCATATAAGTTCTTTGGCTTCTCCATTTCTTATACTGTTCTTGACATCCCCCCTGCCTATTTTGTACCTACCCATTTATGCTTCTTAATCCCTGCACCTTTTTCCCCATTCTCCCCCTTCTCCCTCCCAGCTGATAACCCTCCGGATGATCTCCATATCTATGATTCTGTTCCTGCTCTGCTTGTTTGCTCAGTTTGTTTTTCAGATTCAGTTGTTAATAGTTGTGAATTTGTTGCCATTTTAGTTTTCATAGTTTTGACCTTCTTTCTCTTAAATAAGTCCCTTTGAAATTTCCTGTAATAATGGCTCGGTGATGATGAACTGATGGGAGACAGACTCTGGTCCGGCAAAGCCGCTCCGGGTCGCCATGGATGAAGAAATAAAATAAGTTGTTCCAGGCACTTCTCGGTCTGCCAGGGAAAGGGGATGGCAATTCCCTCTAGTGGAGAATGCCCCAAGCCCCTGTGCTCGATGGCTTTTATTGAAAGGGTTATCAGTGGAGCACAGGTAGGAGGAATGCACAGGTAAACGCATTACATCAGTATGTTAATGTTTACAGAGAATAGGTGATGTTTGAAGAAGACAAAGGGCAGGAACACACTGATCTGCATGGGTCCGAGACGAGTAAACATAAGAGCACCAAATGGTTTAGGGTCAGGGTCTATGAGTAATGTAAATTTCTTTTCCAGCTTGAGCCAGTTATCATAGCTTAGGAAAAACAAAGCATGTTTCAAGGAGAGTAATTTACTTCTAGGCCTGATTTCCCCCAGGAACTGCCCAATCCAATTTAGGGCTACCTCTAGTGTTGTTTCAAGCCTGAGCCAGGCGGGTGGAGCAGAGCAGCCAAGAAATAAAGGAGACTTCTTTCAGGTAGAATGAGGACTCTGGCCATAACAAAGCTGAAGGGTGAGGGTCTTTTGTCACTTCTCTGTGTCCCCCAAGTCCTTCCCTGATGGCTGCCATGCGGCTGTGTCTGTCTTAGGTTGCCCCTGCCATTGAAGGATCTTACCTGTTATTGACTAACCTGCCATCCTCTGGGGCCAAGCAGGGTGATGGAGGGAGGCAGGGGCATATGCCCCTGCCAGGGGGGACAAGTTTTGTTTCCTCAGTGGCCTATTTTCGCAAGGCCTCTTTGATTAGCTCCAGCCTTGAGTCCCTCTCACCTTTTGGTGAAGCTACAGTTCCTGAAACCAGGTGGGATGGTTCCCAACAATGGACTCCTTTAGCTTTATCTTGTGGCAAGCACTCTATCTGCCCTTCAATTCTAAATGATATCCTTGCTGGATAGAGTAATCTAGGCGATAGTTCTTTGCTTTTCATCACTTTGAATACTTCTTGGCAGTCCCTTCTAGCCTGTAAAGTTTCTTTTCAGAAATCAGCTGACAATCTTATGAGAAGTTCTTTGTAGGTAACTCACTTCTCTTGCTGCTTTTAAGATTCTCTCTTTATCTTTAACCTTTGGTATTTTAATTATGATGTGTCTTGGTGTGTTTGGGATTCTCTGTGCTTCCTGGACTTGGATGTCTATTTTCTTCACCAAATTAAGGAAGTTTGCTTTCATTATTTTTTCAAAGAATTTTTCAGTTTCTTGCTCTTCCTTTTACCCTTCTGGCATCCCAATGATTCAGATGTTGTTATGTTTGAAGGTGTCCCAGAAGCTTTTTATACTATTCTTGTTTTTTTTGAATTCTTCTTATTTCTTTTCTGGTTGAATGTTTATTTCTTCCTTATGTTCAAATCATTGATTTGAACCCTAGCTTCCTTCTCTTCACTGTTGGTTCCCTGTATACTTTTCTTTATTTCACTTGCATTTTGGGCCATATGTCTTTGTCTTCTCAGTTTGACAGCCTCCCTGTCTTTATTTCTGTGCTTTAGGTAGAGCTGCTTTGACTCCCTGTCTCAGTAGAGTGGCCTATTGTAGAAAAGACACCTGTAAATTTTGTAGGGGCAGAGCCTTAGATAATTACCAAGGCAGGGCAACCTGCTTTACTGCTTTGTGGCTCTGTGTGGGAGGAGGGCTTGGAGAGGGGACAGTGTCACTGTCAGCCTTCTGTAGGTTTGCCCAGAACTGTCCCCATTTCCAGTGACTTCACCTACTCCCCATATGTGACTGGTGCCCTTCCTGCTGTTGCCCTGGTGCTGAATCCCAGAGTTGGTGGGTTTGCATATGTTCTAAGATCATACAGGCCCTTTAAGCGGAGTCTCCTGAAAATCCCATAATTTCTTCCTCTGCCCAATCCTCACTGGTTTTTACAGCCAGAAGTTATGGGATTTATCTTCCTGGTGCTGGAACCCTGGGCTGTGTGGTCTGGCCTGGGGCTGGGATCACTTGTTCCCAGTGTATCCCTCCCAATTTTTATCCACTACACATGAATGTGGGACTGCCCATTCCACAACCGCCACCTCTCCATGCCACACTGCGTCTTATCTGCCTCTCCACCTGTCTCTGCCTCTCCACCCCTCTTACTTGTCTGGATTAATGTGGCTTTTTAAAATCCTTTGTTGTCAGACTACCATACAGTTCGATTTTATGACAGTTCTGGGTGTTATTTGTTTTGAAGTTTAGTTGTAATTCTCTCTGTGGTTGCACAAGGAGGCAAAGCGTGTCTACCTATGCTGCCATCTTGACCAGAAGTCCTTTCTTCTTAAAAAATGCTCTCCTGGTCTCAAGTGGGCTCTGGCTGACATGGGGTTCTGTAAAAACGTCACTGCTGTGGCAATCAGTGGCTCTCAGTGCATCACATTTTCACTTCCTGGATAGAGTTTGTCTGGCTTGGCTCCTTTGCCTGCTCCAAGGACACCATCTTTCTGAGGCCTGACTCATCTTCCAACATTTTCTTAGAACAAGTCAGAGATATCTGTTAGACTCACTTAAAATGTGACTGTGGTGAGATTTATGGGAAGAGAATCAAACAAGAGATCGAATTAACAAATACTAGGCCGAATGTCCCAAGATTTCAGATATGATCTCCTGTTCTCATGTCCTATTTTTGGTTAAATATGACACATGCTGTTTCCTTAGCTATTGATAAATGTTTATTTTTTTTATAGCTGTTAGAACCCATATAAGGAAGAGAAAATATTTTTTCAATGAGTAATTTCCTGCTTTAAAAGAGATTATATAATTGACTTGTATTTTCCATTTTAATCAGATCTCTTTCTCCCATTAAATTTCCCCTGGTGCAGGATGTATATCTGTTGTATAAAGAGAACTATAAAGATAAAGCCATGGTCTGCTGTGAATTTGTGGCTAAAATCCATTGTCTATGCTTGCTTCCCTTGCTAGGTTATGGGACTCTTGCCAGCAAGGACTGAATGAATATTTGTATATTTCTGCATTGCAGGAATATGGTTAGAGTTGGACCCTGTAATATGACTGCATGGGTGTGAATCATGGCCATGTTCTAGCTTGTGATCTTGGGCAATATTCTTTTCTATGTCTCAGTTTCTCTTCTGTAAAATGGGTTATTAAAAGGACCTACCTCACGGAGAGATTGGGAGGAGCAAGGGAGTAAAAGGCTTAGTGCAGTGGCTGGCACACTGTAAACACATACTAAATGCCAGCTAACATTATTTTTCCAATTTGTTGTTTAATTTTAGTTGCAAAGCACTGAGCTAGAGTTTGCATAGCTGTGTGCATGTTAAGTGGAGTCTGATCCCAGACGAGTGCAGGACTAGAGAAGTGGGGGCCCTGAGGCCTGCACTGGGCTCCACTGAGTGGGGCAGACCCCTACAGGTTGGATGGAAG